AATCAATAAACAATCAGATTTGTGCACATTCGATGGTCGGATGCCTTGTCTGATTTATTTAATTTCCATTATTTATCGATTTTAATTCCAAATGATAATATAAATCTTTCAGCTCAAAGTATTTTTGTCTTATCTTTCTTTGGCTACAATTTTGAGAAAGTAATTTGATATAATACATTTTCCATTAGGCCTAATACGTTCATACCCCTTACTTGCAAAATTAAAACGTTGGCAATAGTACACCCAAAAAACAAAATTCCCTTATAAGTTGTACAAATATCGGAAACTATATATATATATTAAAACGTACATCTATTCCCATGCTCGAGCATTTAAAACATTATCTGACTCCGAAAACTGCTCAGCATCTAAATGTTTAAACGGTGGGGAATTTCGGATGAAGTTTTCTATCAACATTCTTTGAATGACCGGTATCTTTTAGTCGACTCACCCTTTCCTGTTTTGTTCTTTTTATTTCGCGATGCTTTAGATTTTTGTTTCGATTTCATTAAGTCCTGTTGCTCGCCCGAGGATGCTCCTTTGAAAACACACATATGGAATTCGGGGATGTAATGGTGTTTGCATGTGTGATTGCGGTTTCTTTGTGCTTTTCATGCAAATGAAGACCCATACAAAACATATCGGCTTTCGATTGGTTTGCTGTGGTCTCTCATTTCGTTGCCTTCTCATTCATCCTTTTATTGGTGCAGGTTTTGGTACGGATTTTAATGGCTTTTTAAACGCAAAAAATAAGAAAACTGACTTAATAAAGAATTTTTTCTTTTTTTTGAACCAATAGTACCAGGACAAACTTAATTTACTTTTGGAAAGGAAAAGTTTCTATTTACTTATATATTTTCAGTGTTTTCTGCGACTTTACTTCTCGATTGGAAACTTTCTTAATTAACCATGGAGAATTTGAGCACAATATTAATAACTGAAGGGAAAACAAAACGCAGAGAAGCAGGTTAAAGAGTTGGCATGAAAAGCTTCCTGAGTTCTGAATAAGTTTTATTAGTACAATAGCCAACCAAATTTATTCTTTTTCCTGCAAACTTTATCGCATTTAATGGCGATTGAGTAGGCACATTTTGACATATTGGCTCAAAGCAATAGATAGAGCCATACAAGACAGTAGATAGATAAATATAGTAGATATCACAAGTTGATTTGTAATAACCTATTTATAATCCATTAAAGGAATCCAATGCGCTCGTTACACAATATGATTATACCCGTTACTCGTAGAGTAAAAGGGTATATTGTATTCGTGCAAAAGTATGTAACAGGTAGAAGGAAGCGTTTCCGACCCTATTAAGTATATATATTCTTGTTCAGGATCACTAGCCGAGTCGATCTAGCCATGTCCGTCTGTCCGTCTGTCTGTCCGTCTGTCTGTCCGTATGAACGCTGAGATCTCGGAAACTATAAAACCTAGAAGATTGGCATTTTGCATGTAGATTTTAGGAGTTCCTACGCAGCGCAAGTTTGTTTCAAAATGGTGCCACGCCCCCTCTGACGCCCACAAGCCACAAGCTGTGGCTGATAATTGATATGTATTTATTTCGTCAATACCTATCGATTGGCCTAATAAAAGTTTGCCACGCCCACTCTAACGCCCAAAAACACAATAAACGCTTAAGCCTGGCTAGCGCCTACATTTCCGCCTTTCATGGCCCGTAGCGCCATCTAACGGATGACTTTGGAACAGCTGGCCAAGGTGCTAATTCGAGCGGCGAAAAACATACAAGAAGGCATATTTATATTAAGTTGTTTAGCTGAGTAACGGGTATCTAATAGTCGAGGCACTCGACTATAGCGTTCTCTCTTGTTTTTGACGTGTTTTTGTCCGATTATTTCTCAGATGTTTTAAACCGGTCTGAGTTTTTATTTTTTCACACAATTGATTTGCTATTTGGGCTTTCTGACAAATAGACCTGTTCTCATAAGTCAAATTCTAATCTGAGAAATCAGATTGTGTTCAAACGCCAAGGCTTTAAAGGACATTAGTGTATTAATGTCATTATAGTAATTTTTTGTTTAAAGAAAATTAGTTAGTATATTACAGATAAGTGTATGCATGTAGCCATCTCACTACAAATATGCAAATATTTATATTGACACTTAACCATGATGGCGTTGCCAGTAAATAGCCTGCAGGTTAGCCAAGACCAAACACAGTAAGATAAAATCAGACCCGGAGTTGCTCGCTGTACGCAAGCAATTGCTTTTAATGCCGATGATTAGGGAGCTTAAGCTACTTTACTCGGTTTTTGTTGTCTACTTTTGGGTCATTTAACCAACAAGCAGCAGTTAAAACAAAATAGAACATAGATTGTTTAATGGTGCGTATGAGTAATGTGCAGTGTTTAGAATTATCAAATTAATGCCCTCGCCAGTTTACCATCCTTTTTCTTCAAGTCTATTTTCGTCTATGAACAAGTTTTTTGCCCCAGATAACTTTATCCAACGCTCGTCTCACGGTATTCTGTTTAGTACGAGTATCTTAACTTTATTATTAAATTCGCACGCGCACTTCGCCAAGTTTGTTCCTGTTTTGGCATCTTACTCAATTCCGGTGTGCTTATTAAATAAATATTTTACATAACTTTTTGGGCTTTCAGCGGTATTATTGACTGCATGAAGATTACAAAGGTAGCCAAAAATCGTGAAAAAGTTATTTAATTGGAGGAATAAAAACTTCTCAGAAAGCTTAAATAAAAACCTTACTCGCTTTATTAAAGCAATGCTTAATGAGAGTGACATAAACCTGAAGAAGTCTTTAAGATTTAAATTGCAGACAGTTACTAGGTTAACTTAGAAAAACTTAAACATAGAATTTTATCTTTTAAAGAATAACGGTCTGCCTTTTTGACACTTAATAACATCTGACGCCACAAAGCTAACCATTTAAATAGGTCTCCCGTCGGCCATTAGCTCACCAGTTGGTTGTTAAATCTGTAAAAAAAAACAAGAGCAAAGACTTTTGAGAACAGAAGCTGCGGTCCTCATCCTACCTTTTTAAAACCACTTGAAATGGAAACTCCATTAGCTTAGTCGCAAATTCTTAATAATACTGGCATTACATGGCGGAATGAAGACATGAATAACTTAAGTCCCCTCATCTGTGAACTAAATAACTTTTATAGCCGGAAAAATAAGAAAATAAAACTTGCTCTCAGCCGTATCGCATTGTTGATGTCTGTTTTGCAGCTTTGCTATTGGTTTTCAAATGCAATTTGACATGAACTTGAATTACAGACTCGGGGAAGCACGTACCAGGTAGAAAACACATGAACTTCATCCAAACAAATTCTTTTGGAATTTGAATTTATGTACAACTCTATTCCAAACGAATTTGGTTGGAAGAGATAATTTGATTGTATAAGTAAAAAATTAAATGTGTTTATCTGGTTATAAACTAAACATAGAAAAAAAATCCTTTCAAAAATTAGGCTTGAATTGAATTATTAAAAAATGTACTTTCGACCAAAAGGCTGCAATTATAAACTAATATCTCAGTAACAACAGATTTTGAAGTTTAAAGACATTTTAAAGATCTAGTTGAAATTTTATGGTCCACTAATTATCAACGTAATGTTTCCTAGCTGGGCGCGATGAGGATTACAATCTGTTACATCGACATTTTTATCTGGATCTGCTTAAATCGTTGCATTGCATCACTAACAGTTTTTGTGACCCCTTCTGGCATCGAAAGTGTAGCCAAACGTTAAGAGGGGGGAAGGACCACAGTTTCAGAGGATGTGGCCACAATTTGGGTAAACAGCTGAAGGGAAGGCACGTAGGGCTGATGTGCACGATGATGCGGATAAGTTTAGCAGCTCGATTCGATCAGGAGGGTAAACATTCAATAGACCATATCCATACGTGATCACACAGAAGTTATGGCCAAATTTAGTATTCTCGGTAATAGTTGCAAACAGGAAATTCCTGCCACCTGTCAATAGCAATTTTTCAAAAGGACTCTGTCAGCAGTCCAGTAAAATCTGTGTGCGCCATAAAATACAGTTGTAAGGAATTGAGAATATGTTAACTTCCTTAAGATTCGAACCACGTGCTTGACATGTACATGAACATGTATGTATAAATATGTTCTTTTCATGTATTTATTTTTCTTTGACACACTCAGTTATTTTCCGTTGGCCACTTAAATAAGGAAACCAATGCACGTTTCAATAATTTGCATTTAAAATATAAAATAAGAATCACCTTATTGATGAGGCAGAACATCATAAAACGGTAACGAAATTTGTGTGGATCTGAAATAAATTATTTGGAACTGAATAGCTCAAAGAAGTCAAATCAAACACTTTAAATTCTTTATTACACATTAATTTAATGAAATAAATATTTGTGTTGAGAGTCGCAAATTAATTTACTTCAAAAACTTAGTTTGTTAAGCGAATAAAAATCAAAATAATTGCGGTTTGGCTCGACCTGAAAATTTTGGTTTAAAATTGTTATTCCTTGAAATTGCACAATAATAATAAAAAACAAAATCCAAATTTTAATAGTTTTAATAATATTTAATTTTAATAGTTTTTTTAAGTTCAAATTTAGGTAAATTTCTTAATATCTCCACAAAATATATTGCCCAGTCGTAGAAGGCTCTCAAAGTAACAATAATTACTTTTTATGCTCAGTTCCTGCATTCCGTAGGTATATAATTCATTCATAAAATACGGACTATTCGGGGAGGCGATGGACTAGCGCCAGAATCACGTACCAAATGTTGACAGCCAAGGAGCCAAAGCACGTGGCCAACTTCTCACATCCATTCGCAGTGGAGCAAGAAAAGGCAGCAATTTCCACGCTGAATTTCCCAAACAAAATCAGGAAAATTTCCCACTGTTCGGGACAAGAGAGCGTTTCGCAACTCGGGGGCAAATTTAAGAGAGCGAACTGTGTTGATGCCGTCGACGAAGTCGCTGCTGCTGTTTTCCACTTGCTTTTCAGACTCAGTGGACCAGTTTGGAAAATTCACACAATCAGTTTGTTTTGAAATTTTGCCGCGTTGCGTTCGCCCTCAAAGCGTTCTCTCCACACTACCAACAAAATATTCGACTCATCAAATCGTCTCAATAGAAAAAAATCATCATTAAATGTGGAATTAAAAAAAACTTATAATGTATAACATAATAAATTAAACCATTTTAAACGCCGTTCCTGGACTTACAAAATTGTTATAAATATACTATACTAGTACAAAATGATTGCTATTCAACATCTGTCAACTGCAATTCTAACATAACTGAAGTAAAAACAAGTAATAAAAAAAACACAAAAAAAGTTTAAAAAAAAATTGTTCAAATAATAAAAACACACCTGCAGTTGCAGCGCGATTGCGATATGCGGGCTTAGGTTAAAGTTGCTATAAAAAACAAGGAAAATTATTAATGCAGCTGGAGCTTTTTAATAAGATTAAAATGTGAAATATTGGGTAATATAACTAAGTGTATTTATTTAATAATAAAGTTTAAAAAAAAAGTGTTATTAAAAAAAATTAATTAGATTTGTATCACATGGATGTATAATTTAACAAATCATTGAAAATTATAAAATAACGTAAGTAATATATCGTATTAAAATCGTTATCTGTTATTTTATTTAAAATGAAAACGTTTCGTACAATTTTGAAATGCAGGTTAAAGAAATTTCTTTTGAAACATATTTCGCAACGAAAAACATCTTTTCAGTACAAATTTTTTTTCAGCAGCGTTAGCTAAATGTAAGTGACGGTTCAGTTTATTCAATTTAGTTGTAGTAAAGCAAAAGTTAAATACAATGAAGGCAAACATGGCAGCAAATGGAAAATAATTTTTAAAAATCTTTAAAGTCGCATTTGTGTAGTTTTCGTATGTAGTATGTGTTAGTATGTGCTTGGTGGCCATGGCTAATATAAATAAAGTAAATAAAGTCCACCGGAAGAAAAGAGCAAACGGAAACCAAAACAAGCTCACTTCGGGTTGAGCATTAAAATGGCACTGATTACGAAATTAAATGTAAATTTTCTCAATGTTATTTGCTCGAATCGTAGAAGCAAAAATAATTATTTTTCGTTTATCAAATAAGAAAAAGTAAATCCAATCTAAGGAGCACTCATTAAAAAGTGAACTTTAAATCAAATCTCCTCACCCTTTTCTGTCTCTTGCTCTTTTCCCTTTCTATCAGGGATCTAACCCCAACTCGCACATGATTACTCACATGTCAGCAGAAAAAGAAGATTTATTACCAAGAAACCTAAAACCAAATGTTTGCCATTTCTCTTTGTTTTGGTTACCTTTTGTTTCTACCTTTTGTTTGGGTGCCTCTACCTTTTTTTCATTTGTGCTTTACTGGGGTTTTCGGTTTCTTGTCGGGAAATTAAACTATTAAGCTTTTTGCTACCGCTGCTGCTGATGTGCGTAAAGTTTTAATGAAACATAAAGGACATGCTGAAATTATGCCGGCCTAAGGTACAGGACCTGCTATCAGACCAGCTGTCATTAAGATGGAGCGAAAGTCATTTTCTGTGTGGTCCGTAGACAAATTCAGCCAGATAAGTGGAACGGCCGTAAAAGTTTAGTGGACCGAACAAACATAAACTGCCGCTGATTACATGAAGGTAATTTTGTTGTTTCTCGCTCTTCTGCTTCTGAGGTGTTTAAGCCAAGTTCGAGGATCTGTCAGCAACAGGCATTAGAGTTATGCCACTTTCGACTCAAGTGTAAGCCATTAACATTGCAGAAAGCTGGTAAATGAGGAAGGGTGGCATACATTTCAAGGGCTTTGCCAATGCCTGAGGTTAACCGCAAATTAGAACGCTCTTTAATGGCTTATACTAACGAAATATGAGACATTTTTATAAATAGCGAAAAACCCAGCAGTTCATCATCAATGATTTTATTCGTTACATGTTTATTACATCGTGTTAGTAATAGCAAGTTTGTTAAATTTTTTGATTCATTACCCATTTATTATAACCTTTTTTACCTTTCTCCTCTCAAATTAATTGATTTAACTCATTGTTTTTCTTCCGCTGATTTTGTATGTACATCGCTTATTTTCATTGAATTTATTTCCGTACCATGTTTATCTAAAATTCTAGTTCATTCAGAAAACAATTATAGATGTACAAAAGCATTTTATATTGATGGATAAATTGGAATCTCTCATATGGCAATTGATCAGCGCACTTACTACACACATAAAAAGACTCCATCAACACAATCCATATTTTGTTCGGCAAATCAAATAGTTTAAATATTTTGACCACTCCGTCATTGTCTTTATGCTTAGTTTAGCGTGCGGCAACCAAAATAAATAAATCCAGCCAAAGTATAGGCATTAGTCTTTCTCCGGAGCCGATGCTATTCTATTTATTAGGTCATATTTAGATTTATAGATTTTCTACAGGCCAACCAGAAACTTAAAATAACCGAATCGCGTCCTGCATGCATTTAAATTCAGTCATTATTTCTCCTTGTCTTATAAATTTATTTCACCTTACGCTTTGACTATATATTCAATGTTGTCTGCTCTCCGCATTGCAAAAAAAATTCTACCTGAAGCAACTCTTATGCTTTGAACAAGATATAATGAAAACCCTACACAACATAAATACAAATTTAGAGCATATTTTCTTTGGATCATTCTCAAAAATTCTAGCTCTTCAAAATTGCCTTAAGCAAAAAAATTTGTGTTTAGTTCTGAAATGACTAAATACAACAAGTTCTCAACGCCTCTGATATTTACTCGATCAATAAGCTGACGTCCGTAATTAATCGTTTTGCCCGTTGACTTTGAGCAATTGTTGAAACATTCTTATGCCAAACGGGCATTTGAAACATCTCTCCCTCCTTTCTGCTTTATCATTTAATTGGCTGCTGTGTAAATTGCTCACGAGCATTCAAGTATCAACAATCAATAAATATTATTCAAAAAGAGCGACCTCTCAGCAATTTTACATGATTTGTCATTTGACCGAACGCATTTATTCAGCATCCCCATTGTACTCATTTTGCATATATTTAAATTTATTTCCCATTACATTTTGCTGTGTTTCCGCTTGACCATCAAAAAAATATTTAATTTTATTTAACTTTTTACGCGCATATATTATTTTTGGTTGGATCTGTGCAAATATGCAAAATGATTGACAGCACAATTAAGACGCAGCAAACGAGTGTTACCTGAGTAGAAAACGGGGCAAATGGAAGCGGGCACGTGCCTAAGTTGCAACCTTATATGGCTGCCACAGTTTACTTTTCTTTTCTATTAAACAAAAAAAACGTACTCAAAGCGCGTCGCAGAACATGTGTACCAGTTGCAAAAAATGGGCTTAATATACTAGGAAGTATAAGTTACAAAAGGTAACCAAGGTGCGTAAAGCATATCTTTGCAATTAATAGATCTGACTATACATTTACAATTATAATTAGACATTCTCAAATATATGCTTCATGGGTATATGGTATATTTCCATAATTATTTATATTTATTTAGAAAGAAGGATAGAAGTCCAAAGTGTATGTCGTGTGGCTTAGTTCGTCAGTAGTACTTCAGAATTGGATAGGTAACATGGCCGTCTAACATAAGATAATTTTAGAATTTAAGCTGAGAAATCTTATGGAATAATTGTGCAAAATAGACAATTGAATAGACGAAATGAAAGAAGTGGAAATGCCAAGAGGACTGTCAAGTAGTATTCGATAAGCCAGCGGGGTTGAAATACAATAAGTTTTTATTAAAATAAAGAGGACCATAATTATTTAGTGCCAACATTCTCATTCGTAGTCAGATGATATGATTTCATAAATTAAAAAAAAAATCGGGGTGATGCCCCCCAAAGCTCATGAAATGCCTTTGCATTTCTGGTCAAATGTTTCAAATTATCCGTCACTCCAAAAGGGAGCATAAAATATAAACTGAAAGTAAAAGCAAACTCCCAGCAATTGTTCGGCAATGGGTGCCAACAACAGCAAGCCGCAGACGGTGCAGATGGCCAATCCGATGGCATTTGAGATTACTCGAGATGTGGTGGAAAGAATTGATCAGGCCACCGCCAAAAACAGTAAATTGGGTTCCACCCTCTGCGAGAAATGTAAACAGAAGAACAAATTAGGGTCAGGTTCCGACGTTCCCAATACGATGCAACACAAACCAAGGGAAGTTCAGGACATGCAGCCAGTTCCAGTGGCCAAGTCCTGGAAAAAGCGCTCCCTGGAGGTCGAGGAAACGGAATTCGGAAGATCCTTGCAGCGGGTTCAAGAGCTCTTTGGTAAGCCCGTAAAATGGGCAAAGGAGTGTGAGGGCGAGATCGGAAAGTTCGAGGAGGAACTGATCCACTGCTATCAACGGTACCCCAACGAACCCCTGCAGTGCTCCAATTTGGCCAGACGGTATCACCGATTCGTGTTTGCCAGACAGAACGCCGAAATATCCAAAATAAGGGTGGATCCAGAGGGCTCCGGTGAACCCAGGACTTCTAGGTCATCCAAAAATACTAAAAATCCACATTAGACCCACCTAAAAATAATTTATTTTAATGCCTGACGCGATTTTGAATCTGTCTATCTATATCAACTATTTTCCATGGGCTCAAGAAACACCAAGCTAATGTATTCAATTATGTCTAATCGCCGGAATTCGAAATAAAATATAATTATATTTCCCGAACACAATTCAGCAGCAATTAGTTGTTCAAACGTTTTATTTGGCTTATTTTGTTCTTCTATAAGCCTTGGCTGATTGCCAGCAAACAAGAGTCGTCAAACAAATGAACGACAACATGAAAAGCACGAAAGCCAGAAAGTGAAACATGCATAAATAAAAAACAAACACGTCCCGAACGCTTCTTCACCCGCGCACATGCTCATCCTCCTCCGGTATATTTGTTCGTGGATAACTACTTCTCAGCACAACGAGACGTATGCGCGATATGTCGCTCGCAGCTTTTCATACCTGCCTGCCTTCCATTATAAACGCATCGCAGGTGAAAATGCTCTGCTAAGTGAGTGGCCAAAGTGGGAGTGAAAGGCAGGGCTTGGGGTTGCTTTTGGGACAGGTAGGTCTTTTTGGTAAAGGAAAAACCAACACAAGACTTACACGGTCTTGGGGCTCTACGGCTGCCTTGAACTACTTTGCGCCACAATGTCTAGCTCAATGTGCATTAGTGGAACTTACACTTGCCATCCAAGTAAATTGCATAGCTAGGGGCAACATATCACAACACATAGGGTTACACTACTAGAGTTTCAACCAAATTCATTTTCATACAAATAAATATCGAAAGTAATTCTAATAAAAAGCTCATTTCAACTTGTGCTTATATGTAAAATATTACATAAATTTTTTTGTTTTTTCCGCTTTTGACCCGTTTTCTTGTAAGAACTAAAAAATACAAAAAAAATGTCGAATTTAAATAATTACAAGTAAAAGTTAGCGGAGATCTTAATACATTTTGACACATTTTATAACACAAATGTAATAAAAAAAACTATAACTTATTATTTGGACCTATCAAAATAAGTGTATATTTTTTGAAGTTTACCTATTTTGATACAAAAACAAATAATACTGTTTGTATTTTGTTAATTTTACAAATATCTTGCAAAAAGTTTTAGCATTGAGTAACAGTTTTATTAAACTTGTGATTTGCCTAATGATCAAGAGAAAGCATTCTTTGTGAAGGCAAACAAGAAAGGAAAGCTAACTTCGGGCGGAGCCGAAGTTGATATACCCTTGCAGAATACTCTGTAAATTATATTCTCCAAAATTATTCAAATGATGCATTCTTAATACTCATAAAAAATCCCAACTTCCTAACTTTAACAACACCAAAGTTATGACATTTCCAATCGTTCAGTTATATGGCAGCTATAGGATATAGTCGGCCGATCCTTATGAAATTTGGTAGGTCGGATTGGCTGGCCAAATATAACACCCATAGAAAATGCCAACATTCTAACTTTACAAACACCAAAGTTATGGCATTTCCGATCAATCAGTTATATGGCAGCTATAGGATATAGTCGGCCGATCCTTATGAAATTCGGCATGTCGGATTGATTAGCCAAATTCAAAACCCACAGAAAATCCCAACTTCCTAACTTTACAAACACCAAAGTTATGGCATTTCCGATCGTTCAGTTATATGGCAGCTATAGGATATAGTCGGCCGATCCCGGCCGTTCCGACTTATATACTGCGTGCAAAGGAAAGAAGGGTGTGTGCAAAGTTTCAATTCGATATCTTCAAAACTGAGAGACTAGTTCGCGTAGAAACAGACAGACGGACAGACAGACGGACAGACGGACAGACGGACAGACGGACATGGCTATATCAACTCAGGAGGTGATCCTGATCAAGAATATATATACTTTATAGGGTCGGAGATGTCTCCTTCACTGCGTTGCACACTTTTGACCAAAATTATAATACCCTCTGCAAGGGTATAAAAAGACAGGTAAGAAATTAGAAATACCCCATTATAGAAGAACCAAATCAACATTTTTAACACATAGTTTAGATTGCAATTTCCAGGGAATTTATGACGATATGAATATATTGCAATTTAGTCACATATAATATTACAACTATTATTATATTTTTTTTAAAGTGTTCCAGAATTTAAGCTGCAAGGAGCACTTTTTAGTAGAAAACAAGAGAGAACGCTATAGTCGGGTGCCCCGACTATCAGATACCCGTTACTCAGGTAAAGGGAGTGCGAGGGAGATGGAGATAGAAACTTTGATCACGCATAACTTTTTAACGAATGGTCCGATTTGAAAAATTTCTTCTACATTTCGATAGGTATTGATAAACACAATAAAACTGCATTTTTACTTTTCCGAAATATTTAAATTTTTAAAATCGTATACAAGCGATTGTGGGCGTTAAAGGGGGCGTGGCACCTTTTTGAAACAAACTTGCGCTGCGTAGGAACTCCTAGAATCTGCATGCAAAATGCCAATCTTCTAGCTTTTATAGTTTCCGAGATCTCAGCGTTCATACGGACAGACAGACGGACAGACAGACGGACAGACGGACAGACGGACATGGCTAGATCGACTCGGCTAGTGATCCTGAACAAGAATATATATACTTTATAGGGTCGGAAACGCTTCCTTCTACCTGTTACATACTTTTGCACGAATACAATATACCCTTTTACTCTACGAGTAACGGGTACAAACATTCCACAATCATATTCCCACTTATTTTTTTCTTAGATCTTTGTTTTTAACTGTGCTCACGTTGTAATGCGGTTCTACATGTGCAGCCATAAATCTGCACAACAAATGTTTCCACAGGCCAGACTAAAAAAAAGAAAACTTGCCAAATGTCAGAAGTTTTTGTTTCCATGGGAAATGGGATTTTTAATATTGAATTAGTCTCTCACCTTTGGCCAACATAAAGTTTTTGCAATTATTTATGCAAATTCAATTAATGCTATGAGCAAAACTAAAAAATGGAAACCCATCACATTTATACAAAACTAAGTGGCTGCTAGGTCAAGTGCAGTAGATATTAGCGCCCAATGTCAGAGTCTCTGGTGATATCTGGCACTATCTGATTTTTGATTGAACTATTCGATTAACTAGCCAGATCGTAGATGGCTGTCAATAAGCCGATGCAATTTTTATGTTCAGCATAGATAGAACAAGAAAGAACGCTTAAATCGATTATGTCGATACTCAATGACCTTCAAAATATGCTGCGAACTGAAAGGCAAAACTGCAAAAACAGATTCAAATTTTCAGAGCTGTTGGAGGAATTGGCAGATTTTTGTACATTTTATTCTACGAACTCCTCCAATTCTTATTTATCTATTGTATCAATATCTCTTATGACTTGTTTTTAGCCTGGAACAGTTAACTTCTATTGTCACTGAGTAGCAATCGGATAAACGACTATATAGCGTTGTTTTATTGCAAATGTTTTTTTGCCCTCACAAGTGACAGCAGTTTGATAAAGGAAATTAAATTTGTTTTATCTTAAGCTAACGTTGCCAAAAAAAAGTTTTGCAAATGTTAGCTTTATTTCTCTTTCTAGTTGCTTAATCTTCGAACAAAACCGGCTTTTTCAATAATTTTATACCCGCCCTGCAAGAGAATAAAACATGCAAAAAACGGGGCAGCACACAGTTCAATGCACGTTGCATTTACGTATGGCTTATTTGTCTCGGTTTCGCGTTCATTTGTTTCGGTGTGCAACGTGCCTAGAATACTTGGATCGGACTAAGAGAAAAACGAATATTTTTGAAGTTAGTGCACTCTTCTATGTAGTTCATTTACATTTTGGGCCAGTCAGATTAATGACCAGACATATATCTCCCTGTATATATTCGTGGAAGGGGACAATAAGGTTGTATTCTTCACTGCTCTATATCTAATAGCTGGCATTGCCATTAAAGCGTGCAAGTTATTAGAAAAATGCGTGAGAGGCAGACTGGCCACAAAAAATACCCGAAATACCGCAAAAATGTAATAAACGAACTTTTATTGATGCGCACTTCCGCAAACAACCGCAAATAACAAGGCGACAATAGCAACAAGGGAAGCCATGGGTTCGAGCAAAAGCACAACGATAAAAACTCATTGCGAATTCCAAGACGGCACTTAAAATACTCTTAAATAAAATAGTACACTACAAAATTAAAAATGTTTTTAATTTAATAAAATGTTGAAATACTCCCATTTATTTTATAATTCCTGTTGGTCAAATAGACGGACTAGCAGGCGTACTGTTGATATAGAATACTCCTTGATGAAGAATAATCTACAAATACTTTTCACACTATCTTACACAGAAATTGTCCAAAGCCACTCATTGTATTTTTTGTAAATCACAGAAATGGTATATACAATAAAATCGTTTTCTTCTTTCTTTAATTTAAATGATTAGAAACATGTCGGTTAAAGAATCATCAATGATTTGATTGTTCCGAACAGTATTTTACATAGTTCGGATGCATAGTTTTTGTTTGTCACGTCGTGCATTTAAAAGAATCCTTAACTTAAGACAGATAAGACATGCGCTATTTTCAATCTAAAATACTGTCAATAACATGGGTTATACTTTTTATTTAAAAAAATGAAATATTTTTAATAATTTTTTAAGATTGTTTTTTAAAATTATTTTTTTACCCATATCTCAATAGCCATATCTCAATCTCAGATGGAATAAATAGCTAAATCGTATTTTTAAAAGTTAAACATGAAAAAAAACTAAAAAATCTTAAAAATATTTCATTTTTTCGGATAATTAGGAAAAACGTTTAAATTTGTGCAACATCACTTTGTTAACATACCCCACGAGAGCAGCCTACGCAATTTGAACATAAACATTTATAAAACACTTTTGGCCATTTCTCTTCATTAACTGCATGCCAGGCGAGAACATTGGTACAAGGGGTCCATTCCTCCCGAAACCCATCCCTTCTCTTTTTCCCCTATTACACCCAAAGAAATTATGTGCGAATAATTTTCGTAAGAATAGACCCGCAAATTTTTGTAACCTGGACTATCGAGATTCTTACGCGTATTTCTTATCATTATGGAAGTGATTTGTTTATATTTTATTATCGATTTTATTTTAAACTACCCTAGCTCTTAAAACACCTTTAGAACATTTTGGTGCTAACTGCTGCCTAATTAAC